CAGCCTGTTACTTCTTGGTCACTGCAGGAAATATGCTGATGGTATAATCTTGCTACCCATAGGATCACAGCAAGTAAATCCATGGGAAAGTACAAGATAGAGTTGTACGTTAACCCTTTCAGTGTTGGAATGCTAGTCAGTCTCACATTAACTCTTTCAGCAACGGAGCTATGTTAGTCAATGTCATATTAATCCTCGCAATCCATATGCTCTGTATGTGCATGTCGAGTCTGTTACCCCTTGGTCATGCATATTCTTGCTACCCCTAAGGTCACAGCAAGTAAATCCATATGCATTGTATGTGAATGCCCAGTCTGCTACCCCCTGGGTCACTGCAGTAATTATGGTGATGGCATGATCTTGCTACACCTATTGGGTCACAGCAAGTTAGAACCCCTGGTCACTAAATGGGTTTCTCCAGGGGGTCACCTTTGCGCAGGGTCGTGTATTGGAGACTTCCCAAGGGGCCAGAGGAACCAATCCTCAGGTAAGCCATAAAAGAACAAGTTTTTAGTCCTGAAATGACTAAGTCTGTCCTAGGGATAGGACAGGAACAAAAAGAGTGTGGGTAGGAGGGGTTAATTATACCTTCTGTTTTAATTAGGTTCCTGTCTAATTAGGGATAGGAAGGAGCTGCCCATTGTTATGCTGCCATGGGTATGGCCAGGAATAAATAATATTACATATATATTTATATATATTATATATGTGTGCTTGTTTTAAGCGTTACACTGGGTTTACCGGTAGTGGCGGTGTTACTAAGTTTATGATTTATTTTTGCATGATTGTTTTTCAAGTTTAAAAAAAAACTTACACTTGTGTAGTAGCTGCGGCCATATCTTTTGTAACACTTTATAATAAGAGCCTTTTTGCACAGAGCACTTTAGTTTTTTCAATGTTTAAATACATTATATGGGGTCTATGGCGCTTTAATCCATTCAATTATATTTTCAAGAGGCCCATGTGTTTAGATGAAAGATACAAATTCTAATTCTCACAAAGGTATTCTCTGCATCTACAGGGAGTGCAGAATTATTAGGCAAATGAGTATTTTGACCACATCATCCTCTTTATGCATGTTGTCTTACTCCAAGCTGTATAGGCTCGAAAGCCTACTACCAATTAAGCATATTAGGTGATGTGCATCTCTGTAATGAGAAGGGGTGTGGTCTAATGACATCAACACCCTATATCAGGTGTGCATAATTATTAGGCAACTTCCTTTCCTTTGGCAAAATGGGTCAAAAGAAGGACTTGACAGGCTCAGAAAAGTCAAAAATAGTGAGATATCTTGCAGAGGGATGCAGCACTCTTAAAATTGCAAAGCTTCTGAAGCGTGATCATCGAACAATCAAGCGTTTCATTCAAAATAGTCAACAGGGTCGCAAGAAGCGTGTGGAAAAACCAAGGCGCAAAATAACTGCCCATGAACTGAGAAAAGTCAAGCGTGCAGCTGCCACGATGCCACTTGCCACCAGTTTGGCCATATTTCAGAGCTGCAACATCACTGGAGTGCCCAAAAGCACAAGGTGTGCAATACTCAGAGACATGGCCAAGGTAAGAAAGGCTGAAAGACGACCACCACTGAACAAGACACACAAGCTGAAACGTCAAGACTGGGCCAAGAAATATCTCAAGACTGATTTTTCTAAGGTTTTATGGACTGATGAAATGAGAGTGAGTCTTGATGGGCCAGATGGATGGGCCCGTGGCTGGATTGGTAAAGGGCAGAGAGCTCCAGTCCGACTCAGACGCCAGCAAGGTGGAGGTGGAGTACTGGTTTGGGCTGGTATCATCAAAGATGAGCTTGTGGGGCCTTTTCGGGTTGAGGATGGAGTCAAGCTCAACTCCCAGTCCTACTGCCAGTTCCTGGAAGACACCTTCTTCAAGCAGTGGTACAGGAAGAAGTCTGCATCCTTCAAGAAAAACATGATTTTCATGCAGGACAATGCTCCATCACACGCGTCCAAGTACTCCACAGCGTGGCTGGCAAGAAAGGGTATAAAAGAAGAAAATCTAATGACATGGCCTCCTTGTTCACCTGATCTGAACCCCATTGAGAACCTGTGGTCCATCATCAAATGTGAGATTTACAAGGAGGGAAAACAGTACACCTCTCTGAACAGTGTCTGGGAGGCTGTGGTTGCTGCTGCACGCAATGTTGATGGTGAACAGATCAAAACACTGACAGAATCCATGGATGGCAGGCTTTTGAGTGTCCTTGCAAAGAAAGGTGGCTATATTGGTCACTGATTTGTTTTTGTTTTGTTTTTGAATGTCAGAAATGTATATTTGTGAATGTTGAGATGTTATATTGGTTTCACTGGTAATAATAAATAATTGAAATGGGTATATATTTGTTTTTTGTTAAGTTGCCTAATAATTATGCACAGTAATAGTCACCTGCACACACAGATATCCCCCTAACATAGCTAAAACTAAAAACAAACTAAAAACTACTTCCAAAAATATTCAGCTTTGATATTAATTAGTTTTTTGGGTTCATTGAGAACATGGTTGTTGTTCAATAATAAAATTAATCCTCAAAAATACAACTTGCCTAATAATTCTGCACTCCCTGTAGAGCAAGAAGGTCCTGATTTGTGTTAAAATGTAACAGATGTATATTCTCTCCATATTTTTAAATCCTTTAAAATATAATCATGGAAACGGTCCTACGCGTTTCGTTCCCTATAGGGAACTTCCTCAGGGTCCAGTATTGTAAAAAGTACAATAAAATCAAATATACAATCAAGTATACAAGCCTAATACCTAATTTCCTGGTGTCCCCTTAAATATGATAAATCCTGGAAGTCCATTGATGGTGTAGTAGGCGTTCCTTTACGTTCACCTGTGATTGGAAATGGGATATACACTATGTGGTATTTCATTTATTTGTTACAGTGATACCAGCTGGATCCCTATTCTGTTTTAATATACATTTTCCCCACTTATTCTATAAGCCTCTTACATATACATCATATATGTATTCACACTGTACAAATATGTATTTCTGACTGTATCCTTGTACATATATTCTGAGCTCCTTGTCTGGAGAAATCTTCAGATACTTGATACACCAGTTGACTTTTACAGATGAAAACTTTTTTAAGTTAAGAGGAAAAAGCAATAATTTATTTAGACCAATAGATCTAAATCAGTTTTAATTGTACGTATAAAGGAAATAAAAACAACCATGTAAACATAATGACAATAGTAGCCATTCCCTAAAGACACTGCACTCAGAAATCACACAAATGACAATTTATATGCTTTGTGAAAATTTCTATAGAAAGAAAGCATGAATGAAAAAAAGAAAAAAAAAAAAAGGATAAAGCACATTATAAATTGTCAACAATGATGAAAACATTCAAGAGTCATTTAAAATGCAAAACATATGATGGGAAATTAAGTGAATGCTGGAGCAGTTAAATAGTTCAATACAAAAAGAAAAAAACACAAACAAAATAAATGTTAAACTCTATGCAACTTAAAAGGTCTATTAAACAACTTATGAGTAATGAATAGTATGTTAACACATTCCAAATAAAATACTTGATTTAATGTCTTTTTCAAAAACATCTAAGATAAGTCAGTGCAAATTATAGCATTTTCTGCTCCTTTCATTTCTTGATCTCTGACGGAACAGGGCACATTAATTGTGTGTAATTATTGCTAGCAGCAATTAATATTTACGTCATAATCAAATAAAAGCGTCCCCTGAACAGCATGGTATACGACAAGTGACACCTAAAAGATCCAAATATGCATCAGTCATCATAACCCAAAGTCAGAGTGAGCAAGAAGTAGGATTACAATGAATACACTGAGAAAAAAGAGGGGGGAAAGTTCACAATCTCAATGTCTTGTTTTTGGCTAGAAATAAGAACATTACCTGTACAAAACAATGTTGTATCCATAAGTACAGTGATTGCTCAGCAACTACCTTTTTGATGCAACCAATATAAATTCATAAAGTCCGCAAAATAAAGACACAGGAAGCAGCATTATATTCCAAGCAGAATACAAATAAGGTCATTACAAATTTTATTGAAGTGGTGATATTGGCATTTTTGATACCTTGGATATGAAGTGTTGCATATACTTGGAGATACTGATGTTACTTAACACTTTCCAAGTAATGTCAAGAATACGTAATACAAAGTCTGCTACTAAAAGCAATCCGGCTGCTTCCTGTAGTCTTTTTTTTTTTTAAAGACAAAAGTAACTTGCATCGCAAAAAGAATAGTGACATCACAGACTTCTATTTGGTTAGATAAAATTAAAAAAGCACTCCTATTTCCTTTTTGGATTTCCCTTTAAGCATTTTGTTGCTGTCTGGACTGGCAACCCATTTTAGGCATCACCAATACTGAAACTGCTTAAACAGTTTGACATAAACAACATGTATGCTATGCAATAACATTTTGTTCATCCATTCTGTATTGGCAGCAGCTGGGAGATCACAAAATGAAAGGCATATAAAGTGGAAGCACAACCAAAAATAATGTATTCAAGAAATTGAAGCTGTAAGACAAACTCTACAAAACCTAAATGCATTTGTACCCACAACAAAACATTTCTGTTTTGCGGAACAACGATATTCTGCCTTATTATTCTGAGAAAGTTTTTTTTTTATTTTTTTTTTTTTTACTTTTTTCAGTGCATTATATAGTTTTGCAGCAGACCACAGCTCAGTCCATTATATGCACCTCCCGCCTGCAACACTAAGCAGTTTTGAAGATTAAACTTTTTCCAAAGTTTAATATTTGCAGAAAAGGCCCATATACCATTGTTCATTTTTAATATAGGAGCTACAAGGGGGAAAAATAATATATATACATAAACCTAACCAAACCACCACCCACCAAAGCCTGGTGGTACACTTTTCAATGTATTAAGCCATTCCCTGAACCCACTTTGTACTTTAATTACTTTGAAACATTCTCAGTTTAAATAAATAAAAATAGCTCCGCTTCACACTGCAGTACAACAGGACACTAGTCATACTGTGTCTTGTAGCTGTCCCCCATAGCTCGCCTTCTATATGGCCTGCCCCTGAAATTTCTTTGATGTGGATAGCCTTCTTCTCTACCTCTCGGAGCTCGCCAGCCTTCCTCATTTCTTGAATGGTAGCCTCTTCCAGGTGGATAGTACTTCTCATTTCTAGGCCTCCTTGTGCCGTAGGTCTGGTTGTAGAAATTCTTTGCTCTTCCACTATTCAACATGTTGGACACTTCCCTCTCATCCTCCGAACTCTCTTCCCGTGTTCTTGCAGGCCTTACTTCTGGAGCATTTGTTTGTACATTTCCTATAGCAATAGCATCCACTAACTGGCAAACTGAGCCCTTATGATTTGGGACATTATGACCAACCTCATCAGTTACAGTTTGTGGTAAAACCGGTAGAGCTGCTTCTTTATCTGTTGTCTTCCCTGGAAGGTCCTGCTGAACAAGCCTAGTTTGAGTAGCACTTGAAGTTACAGATGAAACCGCGGCCTGGTTGTCCTTCGGCTTTGCTTGAAGGCCCTGCTGTCCAACAGGAACTTGTCGAACATTTGTAATGATACCTGGACCCGTTACTTTGTTGTCTTTAGCCTTGCCTGGAGAGTCCTGATACTCAACAGGAGAATGCGTAACCTTTCTCAGTTCTTCTACTTTCACTGAAGAAAAATTAGAACCAGATGGACAATTTATAGCTCCAGCAAGCTGTGGCCCATCAGGTTTTTGTAGACTCTCAGATTCCAATGACTGCTTTTTAGTTGCTTCAGTTAAATTATTTTCAAGAACTTCTTCCAGTGCAATGTTTTCAGGCATCTGTCTCATATGAGGAGGAATGAAAACATTTTGTCTGATAACAGGATTCTCAATGTACGGTTGATAGGGGTAACTATACCAAAAATGAGGGACAAACGTAGGTGCTATTGGGAGATGTCCCATATATGGGCTGTGCCCAAATCCAGTATGGGGGATCATTGATTTGCTAGCTACTGAACTAAAATCTGCACCTTGACACTCATTTTGGTCCTTTGCCTCCAATCCACTCTGTACACCTACTTGTTCTTCAATATCAGAGGCTTGAACAAATGATGCTTCCAGTGTTGGAGAAGATACAACACTCCCACTCTCTGGTTGTACTTCACTACAATGGGCAAAGATAGATGGATCTACAAGACTTTGGTTTACTGATGCTTCTTGTGGTACCCAGTGGCCTTGTGGGTACAAATGAAAGTTTGGATACATTCTACACATAGATGCTTGCCGTAAAGGGTTCAAATAAGATACCGGAGGCAGCATGTGATATGTATATGCCTGAAAATAAAAAGTAAGATAAGTAAGGTGGGGGAAGAGGCCAATTTAAAGACACACACACTTTAAATATTTTATATAATATATTACATTTTTAGCAAAATACAAAGCCAGAACACTATTTAGACACCATTACAGTATTTAGATATTGCAGAGTCAATTCACACAACCCATCAAGCAAACAGACCATTACAATCTTACCATTTCGAAAGCCCATATAAAATTCAGCTTTCTTTCTGTAGTCAAAACAACCTTCAGCACTACAGATGTTGTGGACTACATAAACCCTGATGGTTTGACACCATTATGGCTGTAAAAGCATTAAAGGAAATGTAGTACACAACACCTGGAGTGATGAAAGTTGCCTACCCCTGGTATAGTCAGGACATATATGGTTAGTAGAAGCACAAAGAGTAACCACTATAAAAAAAAATATGTATAAAAACAGTACATAAAAAAAAACATTGCAGATTTCAGGTTCCTTAAGATCTGATCTACAGTCACAAAGTATCCATGTATTTCTGAATGAAATGATAGGAAATGTGAAAAAAAAACCCACACAACTAACCTTTACGCCTAGGTTGAAGAAGAATCGAAGAATACTTTTATCTACAGAATAAAATTTTTAAAAAGTTAGATATTTTTCAAATTAAAACAAACATGAAATTACAATAGCCTGTATATTTTGCTAGTTAGCGTTACCACAATGCTCATGCATAGACCACAGAATTCGATCATTTTCATATTACAAAAAGACATGGCATTTTAAGATAGAACTTCAAAATAAATGTTAGTAGGCACATATGGCATAACATTTACAATGACACCAGGAGGTCTTGCAGTTATTTTTACTTCTACATGGTCATTCCTTTTAGGTACCATGAGGTACACATAAAAAGGACATCAGGATACAGTTTTTTTAGGATAACACATACATTTTTGGTGGGGCAATTATTTTTTAATCACCACCAAGTAATCCAAATACTAGAGAGGAGTTTAAGGATTTAATGGATTTTAGTGTTAAAAAAACAGGTACCCTTGATAAAGGCAGCCAGTTGGTGCCGAAACGTTGGGGGGGTTTGGTAACTCGTGTTTCTGTCTTGTGGCTTGTAAAAATCTTTTTGGTATTTTACCATTACATTATTGTATTTGCCCTTGCTTCTGTCATTGTGTCCATAATTTATTTATTTAATTTTTTTGTATGTTTTTACTTTGGTACTTTTTGTACATAATAAAGCTAGTTTTTTGAGATTGTTATAGTGTGCATTCTATATTATATAGATATTTTGAGTTAAAAAATTTAAAATGTAGCTTTACTGCCAAGAAAAGATTAAAGGACCACTATAGGCACCCAGAGAAACAGCTATGTTTCACTGAGTGTTAATCCAGCCTCTAGTGGCTGTCTCACTGACAGCCGCTAGAGGCGCTTCTGTGATTCTCACTGTGAAAATCACAGTGAGAAGACGCTGGACGTCCATGGGAAAGCATAGAGTATTGCTTTCCTATGGGCGGTTTGAAGGCATGCGCGGCTCTTGACGCGCATGCGAATTCGGACCAGACGTCAGCAGTGGGAGGAGAGTTCCCCAGCGCCGAGGGAGCCCGGCACTGGAGAAAGTTAAGTGGCTTATCCCCTTCAGCCCAGTTGGAGGGGGGCCCTAAGGGTGGCGGGAACCTAATGACCCTATAGTGCCAGGAAAACAAGTTGGTTTTCCTTGCACTATAGTGGTCTTTTAACTACTTTTACATATATAGCTTGAGGTCTTTTTTTTTTTTATTCTTTTTCTTTTAAAAAAGAGGATCGTTTATTTCTATACCGTTTATGAAACTGTATATTACTATTTGAAATAGGGAACTTAAAAAAACAACAAAAAAACCCAACTCCCTAGCTGTCAGACAGCTGGAAAGGTCATCTTCCCAATTCCAAACGGAAGTGGCAGATGCGCTCTGCTACAGTTTGCCTACCATCTCTTCCGAGTCACAAAATGCCTGTAAGGGTGTGCCTGTGTCCACAGGTCTCATTTTACACTCGGGTTTTTTTTTTTTGGCTGTCTAAAAAGTCATGCTACTCAGCTTCACCGACTGAGGAAGCCCCTGGCACGGGGCGAAATGCGTTTCGGTACTAAAGAGACTCCCTTTTTTTTAACTCTTTTATCTAATTGTATATTTTATGTTTTATTGGAGATATTCTCCCCACTTTTATTCCTGTTTTCATTATTGGGATTAATAAACACTTTACTGCAAAAGTAAGTGTTTTCAGCTTCATCTTTTTTGGTCATCAGAAGATCCACAGAAGGAAAGGGACATCCTATTAATGTTCCCATGAGAGCCACATGTTCTTGTTTGGCTCTCGGTTTGTGAGTACCTGATTATCTTCATTTATATCCTGGATATTCATTTGCTGACAATATTACACTATTTTGTTGTTTTTATTTCCTTTTAGATAGTTTAAGGAGTGTGATCCACCTATTGTATGTATTGTATTTATGCTTCTCAGTGAGAATCCTCTGCTTGGATATTTCCATGGCACAGACCGAGGCTGCAGACAAGAGATCTCCAGCTTTTGCAAGCAGGTCTTAGAAATATTCCCAATTAAATAATGAGGTTAAAAATGCCTGTAATTTTATTTCAAAGTAGTGTTTAAGTATTAGCCCATATGTATAAAAAATAAATAAAAAAATTATAATAATATGCTTGTGCGTGATGAAATCACCAACTTTTTTTTGTAAATGTCTATTTGAGAAATATTTCAATTGGACGTACAAAAGAAAGAAAACCCTTTTCGCCTGCACAATATAGACCGCAAGAGAGAGAGAGAGAGAGAGAGAGAGAGAGAGAGAGACAGAGAGACAGACAGAGAGACAGAGAGACAAAAAGTTGGGACATAAGAATCAACCTTACTTACAGCATTAGAACCCACAAACTGTTTGTTCATCGTTTATTGCAACAGTTTAATGGAATTTACTGTCCACCAGCTGAGTCATATTGTATTGAGATTTTATGTATAACAAAGATATAAATAAGACATGGATACACTCCGGTAATATGTTGGCTGAAAATTACCGAGCACTACACAAACCAATGCTGAAAAGAACCAAGGAACAAGAATACAAAACAAAAGATGAACACAGGGAAGAGCCAAGTAAAAAGGGGGGTAAGGCCAGAATTAATGGTGTCCAGCTCTTGGGTTATGGACCCATAGGGAGACCTGGGATATTCAGGTTATCCTGAACCATTATATCCGTAAAACGTTCGCCTAGAGGAGAGTATGGTCACCAAGGGATCGATCCACACTATCTAGTTTGTTTTATGCAAATTATGGATGTGTGTGCAAGTCACAAATGATTTCCCTTTTAGCACACTTGTTAAAATGCTATAATATTTTGTGAATACTGCTGAAATGGAGTTTGCATATGTAAATTGAGGAATATTGCATAGATTTAGACAGAATTTAATGTATACATTAGATAGATTAAATTAAAAAGTTAAAGAAATTTTGGTCTCTTGCTTTTCAGTGATCTACATGCATAGGTGCATTCTCCAAAAATCCTAGTATAATACAAGTGTTAGCATACATATCACTGCAAGATGTTCAGAACTGTAATTTCCACTAGGCTTAACTACTTACCAGTAGGAAGGTCTTCTCCAACCTTAGAAAACGAGTAAGGAGGTAGAGCGGCACTTTCATTCTGCTCATTTAAAGGAAAACCAGGATACAGTGGGTCTTGGTAAGCAAGTGGCTGAGGTATAGGCAGCATAGGCTGGTTGACTGCTGGTACAGAGACAGGAAGTTGTGTAAATGGGGCAGCGGTTACCTGAGATTGTAACACAGTAGCCCCAATACCAGGAGAAGCAGGTACCTGTGCTGGAATACCTAAGAATCAAGGTTTAAATGACATTAGACAGCTCTGTATTAAAAGGGAAATCACTTCATCTTTCACCCAAGGAAAGCTGTTAAGAGCTCCATTGCATAAAAGCTGCAGAAGAACATCTAAAACAAACAGATCATCACTAAAGCACAAGTTCGTCCAGTGATACAGCAATTGTGTATTTAAATGGTAGGATGAACATATGCATGCAAGGTTTTAATATAGAGATGGGCACGGGCACTGACCTGACCAAGCGGTTTCTGTTGGGGCTGCAGAAGGCACTGTGGTTGATGTTGGTTGCTCAGAAGGTGATGGAAGAACAAGGTCATTATCTGAGGTCACTGGTGTCTCTACGACTTCCTTAAAGACACATTGACCAATTTATAATGGTAATAGACAAAAAAAAAATAAAAGTTTTTAAAGTCGTCTTTACATTTAAATGTAAATTCGTATTTTTTTCTGAAATTGGAATAACCAAGATATAAGCTATTTGAAATAAATGATTCTACCTCAGCTGCTTTCTGGTCAATCACTTTTTCTGCTTGAGCGGATTTAGAGGCTGAAATAAAATGACAAAGACAAGGCATGGTCATTAAATTGGACGACATTTCTACTTCAAACACAGATATTCACATTAACTATTCTGACTGTAAACAAGAGAAGAGATTTAGTTATACCATATCGCACAATAAGGAAAAATAGCCCTTATTCACATTAAAAGTGCTTTGCAGTTATGAACCTGTATTGACTGGGAAAAGACCTGCGTGTATTAAAAAGCCACACTCAAAACCCAATGGAATAGCATTAATTCAACTAGTTTAACACATACCAAAAATAATAAAAATACAACCAAAAAAGCCACTTATGGTTACATGTATCGGAGTGGCTTCTCTCATCACCAATGTCATAAGACTTGTTTAATGTCAGGTCAAGTAGTATATTGAGGGGATTTAGTAGCCAATTTCACCACTATTGAGAAAGTCTTATAATGAAGATAAGGTGTATCTTCACACTATGTTCTTCAGCATTCTTCTTGCGACAAAAATCACATTATTAAATACAATAATGAAATAATTGGACTCCATGCTAATTCTCTTTATGCACTCCAGAGGTTGTTTTTTTTTTTAATTTTTATTTGTCTACTATTTTATGTTTAAATAACAATTACATTTGGAAGAACAAGTATAGATGTTTATTTATTGGCATGCTGCCTGGCACAATACAGAAAAGAGGTGTATCTACTGACGGTAAACTTGTCACCATCAACAAGAGAGGTTCCCATTAATGCAATTATCACTTAATTCCAAACAATATCTTTGTTTAAAAATGCCTAGAGCAGTGAAAACAGTTCTTTACGGTTGCAACAAAGATGCAGAATTTTCTGCCTAAAGAAGAAGCTTTATCGGATTCTTAAGCATTGTCTGGATACCTTTCTGGTAAAAATAATAAAAAAAATACTCATATACAATAGGACTCTAGGCATCCATTTAGAGTTACACAGAGTTGGTTCCGCTGTGCTTCAAATGCCAACAATTCAATAATACCACTTAACAGGCATTGATTTTGTGACAGCAGTACAGAACAGTTCATAAGAGTTTATGTGCTTAAAGAAAATGAAACCTAGGAATCAAATGCATCATGCCAATTCTTCACATATTGGTATTTAAAAAGTTTAATGTTTTCCACCTGCATGCCTGGGCAAACATTTTGTACAAGACTACATATGTGTACACATGTGCCTCTGTTACATTAGTATTAACAAATAAGTGCAAACCTTTTTCACTCTGATCTTCTCTTTCAGGCTTTTTTGGCATGCGTTTCTCAGTGTTCACATTCAAGCCCTTTTTTGAGGTTAACACTTCACTGCTTTGAATGGACACCTGATCCACAGAAGTAGTAGTCTGATATGGAAAAATATACATTTTTAGTAGACATTAGTAAATAGCATTCCAGAGAAGATAAAGCATGGAATAAAACAGGCATAAAAATAGCAACAGTTCATTAAACAGACAATTCTTTTTTTTTTTTTTTTTTTTTTAAGTGGCTACTTAAATTAAATGCACATATCATATTTACCAGTCAATTCACAGCTAGGCAAGCATGACTGCTGCACTGCTACTGTCATATTCAGTTAGTGAACGTTTGCCAAGGATGAGGGAAGATTAAATCTTACAGCTGAAACTTTGTGCAGAACCAAACAATCAATGTGTAGGACATGTCTGGAATCTTTGCTAGTTTGATCTGCAGGCTCTGTGCTTGACACCTTAAAACCAAACACTATATTTCTCCATTGTGTAAGGTGCATTTAGATCAGATATGGCTTTTTTCTTTTTTTTTAGAGAGTATTCAAAAAAATTAAAATAAATAAAATAGGATAAAGGATAAACACTTATATTAGGGTTATGCACCACCAATCCCTAAGTGTTGTATCACAGTGCCATGGTTTTTCCATTGGACTGATAAGTTCCTTCCACTCAAGATAATTGGCGTTATATTGAAGTGCAGAGTCCTAAAAAGTGTCATCCTCTCATCTGCAGTTATATCCATCCAAGTCCTTCAACCCAATAATCAATATTCTCCCATTAAGGAAAGTGCAGAAAACAAAGAAGCCTCCAATCATGAATATCAAAACAAAAAAACAGAGCTCCATCTTTTACTGCTACACTTATATTAACGAATATCTAGTTAAAAAGAAAGAATATGCACACACATATTAAGTTAATTTACCCCAACTAAAGAGGTATTAAGAAAAATATATTAAAACCATTATATTGGGATTATATGTATGACAGTAAAAGACAAAGCCCTGACTTTGTTAATGTAAGCCTGTACGTGATACTTTGTGACACTATGGTGGTTAACAATTGGTTGCCTTATGTATCGAATATATGTTGGAGGTGATACGGCATCTTATAATCCTGATGAAGTGGGACTTTTTCACACAAACGCGTAGATGCTCAAGGCTATAGGCAGGACAGGAAGTAAAGTTACACAGAGGGAGGATCTGAGGACTTGCAGCTTTGGTTTGAATCCCAGAGAAATGGGAGGATGCCAAGACCCACCTGTCATTTTTAATGTGTGTGTAGTTTGGCACCTCTGATGAGTGCATTCTAAAATGTTTTCATATAAATAAAGATATATTCACGATTGGTGGCTCCTCGTTTTCTGAGCTTTCCTTTTAGAAACAATATACTTCAGACAGCTTGTACATATCCATGCAGAGACCACCTCTTTCTTGGGAGGCTGTGCACCATTTAATTAGTACTTCTACATAATTTCCAATGCAGGGCAAAAAAAAAAAACCCCAAAAAACCTGCAGAAGATTCACAAAGTAATCCTAAAATTCCCCATAAACGTATACTAAGAAACCACTATAAACCAATTTTACATTACCAAATATATATTGGTTTGCAAGAATTTAAAAACATAATTTTGCAGCAGATTTTAGCCCAATACTTTCTCTGAACTGAATTTAACTTCTAAATAGAAGCAATATGTAAGAAATATGTTTTTGTTTTTTTTCCTTTTAAGGAGCAAGATTTTTTTTAAAAAATTCTTAAATAAATTGTTTATATTTATAAAAGTATGTTCATCCGCTCAGATCAGCTCTGAAGAACAGTCCATATTGAGGTCAATTATAAAATTCAATGGACACTGTGTCCAAAATCTGAGCCATTGTCTAAATTTGCTACAGGTCCATTAGAATGAATGTTAGTGGATAAAGAGGCAGCGTCCTATATACAGACCAAATCAGACATGAACTCTTTCGGGTTATACTAACACCATGTACTCTAGAATATTTAAATTATTTATAAAATATTTTACCAGGAAAGATACATTGAGATTTCTCTCGTTTTCAAGTATGTCCTGTGTCCACAAATCATTGCATTGTTACATTAGGGTACAATAAAATACAAAAACTATATTAATACACAATAAATACAAAATGTAACATAGAACAGGTAGGAAATATGTAATCATATATAACCATGACAGGTGCATTCTGTTTTGAGGTATGTAGAGAGGGATCTCTTAAAGGACTTTCGGCTTTTGGGAGGTCGTTCCATAATTGCGGTGCTCTGCAGGAAAAGGAGGATCGGGCTGCTTTCTTTTTGTATTGGGGTAGAATAAATAAAGTGCTGGTACTGGATCGGCGGTTATAGGAGGTGGGAACAACCGGGGAGAGCATTCTGCTCAGGTAGGGTGGGAGCTTCCCAGAAAAGCTCTTAAATACAAGGCTGGAAAGATGAAGAGTGCGTCTGGATTCCAGTGACAACCAGTTTAATTCTTTTAGCATGTCACAATGGTGGGTCTTGTAATTACATTGTAGCACAAATCGGCAGAACGAGTTATACAACGTATTGAGTTTACCAAGGTGGGTTTGTGGTGCAGATGCATATACTACATCCCCATAATCAATGATTGGCATCAGCATTTGCTGTACAATCTTTTCCTTTACTGTAGGGCTTAGGCAGGATTTGTTTCTGTACATGGCATCTAGTTTTGGATAAAGTTTAGATGCAAGTTTTTCTATGTGGAGGCCAAAAGATAGATTAGCGTCTAACAACATACCCAAGTATTTGAAAGAGTGGTGTTAGGATCTACTAGTTACCAAACACTAAAATACAAATGCGTTGTTTATCTTTCATGAGAGTTTCCTTTTGCAAGCCATGTAAAAATGCATGGTTAGTAGAACATCCACAAATGATACTTACAGAAAGGGCAGGAAATGCATCTTCGTCCATGCTTTGAATCTCATACAAAGATTTTGACTCCTCAAATGCTTGTTTCTCTCTCCGCTCTTCAGGAGTCAGCCCAAAGTAAACATTCTCACGTTTAAAGTAACTGGAGTCATCACTTCGCTCAAGTTTCCTGCTGATAGAGTTAATTGACCAATTATACTAGCTGACATAAGTTTTCTAACATGGGGACCAATGGCATACTAATGTCAATTTAAAGGACTTAATTACAAATCTGAAAATAAAAATATTATAGTACGTCACATTTCTAAAATATCGACTAAAATATGTGGGATAGCTGAGCTATTCTACAGCATAATGTAAAAAAATGGCCTTAACCCCTTAAGGACACATGACATGTATGACATGTCATGATTCCCTTTTATTCCAGAAGTTTGGTCCTTAAGGGGTTAAAGGGACAATATACTTACCAAAACAACTTTAGCTCAATGAAGCGGTTTTGGTGTATAGAGCATGCCGCTGCAGTCTCACTGCTCAATTACCTGCCATTTAGGATTTAAATCATTTTGTTTATGCAGCCATAGGCACACCTCCCTACAGGTGAATTCTTAAACACTTCCAATAAGAAGAGATCTAATGTTTAAAATTTCCTTTATTGCACATTCTGTTTATTTTAGAAGTATTATACCTTGCCCAGCTAATAGCCTTCTAGACCCTTAAGGACCATTCTGTGTGTGATTACAGTTCAATTTACAGAGCTGGAGACAATTTCTAAATTAAACCATTTCTTTCCAATGCAGTGTTTGTGTCTGTCACATCCAGGGGAAGTGTAACTATGGCTGCATAAACAAAAACAAAAGTGATTTAACGCCTAAATGGCAGTGAGTTGGACAGCGAGACTGCAGAGGAATGATCAATACACTAAAACTGCGTCATTAAGCTTACATTGTTTTGTGTCTACAGTGTCCCTTTAATGTAGTTCATTGTATTTTTGTTTGTTTATTGTATTTTGAGTTCTCTTATATTTTATATTTTGTTGCCATAGCTATTAAACGTTTTGTTCTATATGCATTCTTTTCTAGAATTTATTTCAATCACTATTATTAAATGTGTATTTTCATCTGATTTAAATTCAAACATTGTGATAACATAACTAGAATATGTGGGTGTTACAACACTTCTGTGCCCAATTTGGTTGATTTCTAACTATATTTTATTTATTTTTTTACTAAACAGTGATTTTTATCCAAGGAGTTAAAATGTGTTTGCTAGTGTTATGGAGGAGGGTTTTATTCCCTAAACAGTAAATTGAAATCCAAACTCCAAAACTCAAGGCTGCTTAAAATGTAAAAATAAAACAAAAACACTGATATAGCTGCAGCTTTGCTATTCAAATTTTAATTGCGCAAATGGGTTTTCAATTTTGCAGTTCACATCTGAATGAATAAACCAGAATAAGTTATGTCTGCTAAAAATGTTTGAAAATCTTGTTAACTGAGGTCAGTTGACCTATATGTACCGAAGCATTAAAAGGTCAGAAATATACACAAAAGGAAAGAATCTGTTTTGAAGAGGCATAAAACTAACCTTCCCTACTTAACTGAAGAATGGGAAGCATTGTAACTGCAGCAACCCACGTACCCTATTAATTAGGACAACAGAAGCAGGGCATTTCTAACCTGTTAATTTCTAACCAGGAATATTGTGAACGTTTTGATTTTAATGAGTTTACCGTCAGGTGGATGAAAACCTACTGTCCTAATCAATCCTTTAGCTCCTTCTAATGGTGTACGTCTGACAAATTACAGAAACATACTATAAAAAACTTTTTAAACCATTCGGTGCTAGATAAACTTACGAGACACTGTTGTCAAAAGGGTAAATCGATGTGCTTATTTACCTGACAGGCACTTTAGGTGGAGTCCTGCTCCGTCCCTTGTTCTCAGGTTGGGCAACTTGATCTGATGATTGAGAAGATGGCCCATGTAACTTGCTCCCAGTACTTTGCTGCAGACGAGGGGACGATGCAGTCTGTGGCTTTATTGGCCTGTTCAATCCCTTCTGTCCTCTGTGATCTTTCACTAAAATAGACAGAAAAGAATGTGATCATTAATGCTGCCAACCAGTCACAGGAGAAATAAAAAAAAAAATAAAAAAAATAAAAAAAAAAAATCTCACCAAGCGGCATGCCTGCACCACTTGCAGGGGACCTCTTAACTTTTTTCCCAGATACAGTGTTCCACCCATCAGTACTAGAACTGCTGATCGTCAGTGAAATAGGTTTAAGGTTTTTCAATGGAACCGCTTGTCTATGGGATGGGGAAAAGAAAAAAGTACTGCTAAATTAAAGCTTTTTAAATTTCCTTCCTTTATTATTTCTCCTAGTAAAATATGGTCTTGACAGAACAACCAATACCCATTTATTTACCACCCTATCCTGTACAAATTAATCTAAAGGAAGATTTAAAATGGCAAGCATACATGACTGTCTGGGATAGATGCATACCTAGGTCTTTGTCAATCTCTAAATATATTTAAAAGAGGGCACCTGTCTGACATTTTGATCCTGGACGGTCTCGTGGACAGAACCAGTCTGATATATTAATTGAATAAGTTCTATATAGGTCCTATTCAGAATTGCACAAGTAAGCTAAAACGGAGATCAATTGTAGATTATTTGAGAGATTCCCAACAACAATTTTCTGGAATGCTGTGTAGGTGCTACTACAATATTTAAGTGCTGGCAGCAGACAAATAGTTCGGAATTTTTAAATCTGGGCAAAGATTTCTGCCGTTCAGCAGTGGTTTTTAGGGCTGAAAAACAGACAAATTTCGAGCATATTTGCGGCCAGAATGGCTAAACCGAGACATCTTTTTCCTGGCACTATGTAGTCCTTACGTCGTCCCCTACCCTCCTGGCCCCCCTCCCGCTGGGCTGAAGGGGTTTTCAGCTGCAGGGTTAAAACTAGGTGGACCTGGCACCCAGACCACTTCATTGAGCTGAAGTGGTCTGGGTGCCTATAGTGGTCCTTTAAATGTCATGAACAATCTCTAGATTTCACAGTCCAAATAGCTCCATACTTAACTGAATGTTTTTCTTTATTTGGACATTAGTGAATAATTTTGATTGATTTTACACAGGTAAAACGGCAAAGTAACAAATGGCTAAAAGAAATACACTAAACACAACAAACCTATGCTTGGAGCAAGGAATTACCCTGCAGCAAGAAATAAAGAATAAAAACAAACACGAAAAGCCACATTATACAATGCAATTTGTTTGACCCTCCTGACATCAAAGGAACTCTACCATAACAAAAGGGTTTGGTGGCACATTTAAGGAGTCTAGGCTATTAGCTACCTCGAGCTTCACTCATCAAAAAGGATGTAACCCATCTGATACTCACTCAATATGACATGAATGCAGTGCTAAATATCTTGAAAATCATAACTGCACAGATCTTAATAAGATAACACAGGCTTAAAGGGACACTATAGTCACCAAAACAGGTTTAGCTTAATGAAGCAGTTTTGGTGTATAGAACAGGCCCCTGCAGTCTCATTGCTCAATTCTCTGTAATTTAGGAGTTAAATCACTTTGTTTATGCAGCCCTAGTCACTTCTTCCCACATGTGACTTACACTTCGTTTATTGCAAATTCTGTTTCATTCAGAATGTATCTCCTACACTGTTGATAGCTTGCTAGACCTTGCAGGAGCCGTGTCTATGTAATTAAAGTTCAATTTACAGAGCGAGAAAAAACAACAACACACATCTAAATTAAGTTACATCTTATGAAAAATAAAACCATTTTGTTTTCATGCAAGCTGTGTGAGTCACACCTAGGGCGAGGTGTTGCTAGGGATGCATAAATAGTTCAGAAAAAAAAAAAAAAGTGGTTTAACTAATAAATGGCAGATACTTTAGCAGTGAGACCACAAGGACATGATCTATAGATACAGGGCCGGTGCAAGGATTTTTGCTGCCCTAGGCAAAAGAAAGATTTGTGTGGGTGTCTGTGTTCAAGGGATGCATAGTGTGTTTCTGTGTATGTATAGGGATGGTGTGTGTGTGTATGTATAGGGATGGTGTGTGTGTGTATGTATAGGGATGGGGTGTGTATGTATGTATAGGGATGGGGTGTGTGTATGTATAGGGATGGGGTGTGTGTATGTATGTATAGGGATGGGGTGTGTGTATGTATGTATAGGGATGGGGTGTGTGTATGTATGTATAGGGATGGGGTGTGTGTGTGTATGTATAGGGATGGGGTGTGTGTATGTATAGGGATGGGGTGTGTGTGTGTATGTATAGGGATGGGGTGTGTGTATGTATAGGGATGGGGTGTGTATGTATAGGGATGGGGTGTGTGTATGTATAGGGATGGGTTGTGTGTATGTATAGGGATGGGGTGTGTGTATGTATAGGGATGGGGTGTGTGTATGTATAGGGATGGGTTGTGTGTATGTATAGGGATGGGTTGTGTGTATGTATAGGGATGGGTTGTGTGTATGTATAGGGATGGGTTGTGTGTATGTATAGGGATGGGTTGTGTGTATGTATAGGGATGGGGTGTGTGTATGTATAGGGATGGGGTGTGTGTGTGTGTGTGTATGTATAGGGGTGGTGTGTGTGAGCCTTCCCTCCCACCCGCGACCCCCCCCACCCCCCCCTTCCTTCCCAGTCTAGCCTTCCCTCTAACCCTTCCCCTCCCTCAGTGGTCTCTCCTTTTGTCCCCCCTCCCCCCGTTCCCTCCCCAGGTGGTCCTCCTACCGCCCTTTAGTGTAGAGTGGCCGAGCTCCAGTCACTGATGCTCCTTTACTGCGGACTGGAGTGGAGCTCGGCCACGCTACACTGAGGGACTGACTGTGCGCTTCCCTCCTGCCGATCCCTCATATCTTGCGCCCCATGGCCGGTGCACCCTAATGGACGTGCCGGCCCGGGCAGTGCTGCAGTCACCTGAGGGTCTCTATAGAGCACTCATGAGGGGGGCCGGCGTCCTAGTGGCGCCACTTCCTAAGGTGTGCCCTATGCGACTGCCTAAGTTGCCTATAGGGAGCGCCAACCCTGTATACACAAAAAACGGCTTCATTAAAATATTTATAATAATTGTTTTGGTGACTATAGTGTCCCTTAAATTATTAACAGCAACAGGTTTATTGTTTTGTTTAATACACCAAAATCCAAAACACTTGGCTATGAAGAACGTCTGTCATCCAGTTGATTAATTCATCATAAACACATTCACAAGGTTTCTGTAACGAAGATATGATGTGCTGGTGAACTTTTCATGGGTAATAATATCCATAAAACATGTAAGTTAACTAATCATTCATCTCTAAACCTAATTTCAATGGAGGATATTTAGCCAGAAATGCATGGGCGATAAACAAGTAATTAAAAATAAAAATCACATACTTACTTCTTTGCAAGTTCTTCAATAAACACCACAACAGGACCATTATCCACGCCAACTTCCTGAATGTGAGCACCATAAAACTTCCCCCCTGACTCTAATCGGACCTAAACAAACCAAAAAATAAAATAAAAATAAAGTTTGCAAAATCCCTCTTTTTGCAATTAAGGTAAAATTTGTTATTTATTTGTGAAAAAAATTGTAAAATTACTTGCTTATTGATTTGAAGCCCAAACATTTCGAAAAAGTTGGTTTTAGTCCTACAGCAAATTTTTAACATATCAATATTCCTTTAATATGGGCAAAAATAGCTACTGAAAGCATTGATCATGTTTTGTGGTGGACAAATGACTAGTGAGAATATGGGACAATGGGGGTGTAGAGAAGCAGAGCCTTCAAATATAAAAAAAATAAACTAAAAAAGGACAAAAGTAACGGAATATAGTGTAGTATTTCCGGTTACCACCAAGGAAATAAAATTGCGAATCCTCTGGATAACATCTTCTGGGATAGAATCCGGCATGTCCAGATAGCATAAAAAAATTTATTTTATTGAAAACAAATAGTAAGACCAAATATAGCATAACTCACAGATTCGATAACACTGATTTATCAGTGTTTTATGCTATATTTTTAATCTTACCATTTGCTGATTGTAAGTTCCAGAAAATTTTAATTTCTTATATTTATTTCACTGGTAACTGGAAATACTACACTATATTCTGTTACTTTTGTCCTCTTATTTTATTTATTTTTCATATTGCTGCATTACTACTTGGATTTGAGTATACTTTGAAGGTGGTGTTTCCCTACACTCCCGTGTCCCATAGTGTATCTACTCTGGTTTGGGAAGTTTAAGCTGCCATAGTGGTACCAGACAAATGCCAGAAATCGCATGCTTATCTAAATGACCAGAGATATACACTACATGGACAAAAGTATTTCAGGTATTCCAAACAGACCCATTGCCACAACTGTATCAAATTAAGCACCTAGCTCTCAGTCTGCATTTATAAACATTTTGCTCAGAATTCAAATAGAATATCACCTTTGCAATAAGTCCATTTGTGAAATTTCAACCCTGCGAAATATTCCACGGTCAATGGTAAGTGGTATTATTGGAAAGTGGGAGCATTTACAAACAGCAGCAACTCAGCCCCAAAGCAAAAAGAAAAGAGCAAGATCACCGAGCGCTGAGGTGCATGGTACATAAAAGTCACCAAAGCTTTGCTGATTCCATAGCTGAAGAGTTCAGAATTTTCACTTGTATTAATATCTGCACAGGAACTGAGCGGTGGGAGCTTCATAGGAGTTCAATGAGTTTCCATTGCCGAGCTGCTGCATGCAAGCCTCACATCGCCAAGTACAATGCCAAACGTTGGATCAAGTTGTGTAAAACACGCTACCACTGGACTCGGGAGCAGTGGAAACATGTTCAGTGAAGTGACGAATCACACTTCTCTGTTTGGCAGCCTGATAGGCAAGTTAGATGTGACAGATGCCAGGAGAACATTATCTGTCTGACTGCACTGTGCCAGTTGTAACGTTTGGTGAAGGAATGATGATGATATGGGGCTGTTTTTCTTCTTTTTTTTTTCTAAGGGACTAAGCCCCTTACTTCCAGTAAAGAGGAATCTTATTGCTTCAGCATACCAAGACATTTTGGACAATTCTAGGTTTCCATATGGTTTTATATGGTTAGAGGAGTTTAGTGTAGTAGAACTTGTCTGGCCTGCACAAAGCCCTGACCTCAACCCCAGGTTAAAGTCAGGCCTTCTCGTCCAACATGATTGATCTCACAAATTCTATACTGGATGAATGGGAAATTCCAACAGAAAGACTCCAAAATCTTGTGGAACCTCTCCCCAGAAATGTCGGAGACCAAGTACATATTATTCAATTTAGAATGCAATGTCCAAAGTCTCTGTTGGTGTAATGGTCAGTTGTCCCCAATAGTTGTCCATAGAGTGTACATTAGATTCTGTATTTTCAAGACACACTTCATGTACTTGATAATACACTTTGCTATAAACAACGTATGATATATCACATAGCACACCATACTTACTAGGCACTTGTCCCCAACAGAATACTGCATCCCAGCAGCAATCGAGAAGTCAAGTTTTTGCTGATCTGGGGATAAAAATTAACAATTTACTATGCAGATGTACAGTCTTTCCTTAACCATTTTTACAAAGTTTTACAGGGTCACGCTGGCATTTCATTATAAGTCTAGTGGGTAATAGTTACTTTATTTCAATATTCCTCTAGCCTCCTCTATTCCTAATTTACATATAAGTCAAGAAGAATAAAAGAATAACAAAAGAAACTCTTCCACCCCCAACCCCAAGAACAACAAAAGTCAGTCACACAGTCTTCTTTACACCCCTCAACCAGACCAGACGACAACCAAAAAAAAAAAAACCCTCAAAAACAAACATGGTTCTCTCTTGCATCCAGACACTGTCCCCTCCTTAACATTGGTATGTAAAATTTGCATGTCAGCATTAACAATGTCCATTCCCTTCAACAATGACAGTGAAAATAAATACTACATTATGTATGTGTGTTTATTTATTTGCAGGTGATATTGCCAGCACAATGCATACATTACATTTTATAATCACCTGCAGTGGATCTGGACAGATCTGCTTTAGAGACATGAAGGTATATTTTACAAATAATAGTAAATTGTATGTTAAGGTTTCACATGTGAGGTTATCTCAGGAAATGCATTTGTAATAACTCACACTTGTACATGTAATTCATATCCCTTCCTGTCATCTCCCAACCAAGTAATTTAAGTTCGGAAAAAGGATCTATGCCTTTTTTGAGATGTAGTAGAAATACATTTCATGCACTTTTTGTAAATTTTTATAAAAAAATAACTAATTTTCCAAAAGTTCAAACATGCATCTCTTTCCAATATAATGGTGAGCAACATTTACGATGGGTTTCTTCAAATCAATCAACTATAGCAATACTATAGGGCAGAGGACAACATCCCTGGTCCATCACTTCAAGTACTTCCAGACTCAAAAGCAAATACTTTCTTTTGCAATTCTCTTTTAGTGTACCTCTCTGAGACTTGAACCAAACATCATATTCAACATTTCTGTAAAATGAAGGATCAAGAGAGCGAAGAACAGTCTGAGACAGAGTGGCCATTCCATTATTTTTATGCTGGTGCTGCAAAAAATAATAGCAAAACATTTAGATGATATACATTAAGCTACAGGTCCTATCTCAAGATTCCATAAATCATTGTTTCATCCTAACCTGCATAACTACAGTAAGTTCAATAACTACAGTGCTACTGTGATAATGCCAACTCAGAGGATGAACAAGCAATACATGTTTACCACCTGCATCTACATAGGTCTACCTATAGTACACCAATAATAAAACACTGCATTTTTCCTCCACAAATTTCATTTTAGCTTTACTGAGCTTCGATTTCTTAAAAGAATTTTAGAGATACTGGCAAATATCTTGAATATAAAAGGTTTACATTTGAAACCATCTTGTTTGATGGTCATTAACTATTTAAATAATAGTGTCCACAACTTTGTATAGAAGAACAAAACAAAATAAATATATAAAAATTAAATTAAAAAAAACAAAAAACAAAAAAATAAAAAAAATTAAACACACGTCATAACACAGGAAAAATAATAAATGCAAACCTTTGTTGTATCTTCCATGTGAACGTAGGAAGATAAAGTCCATATTTTGCCGACTCTAAGGTGTTTTTTTTTCTTTTTCTAAACACCTTAGACACACCCAGGTAATCCCTAAAACCTGGACTGGTAGGGGGTCCTGAGGACGAACGTTGAGAACCCCTGCTCTAGAGGTACTAGATGTCCTCCTTGCCTCTTCCTCATGGTTGCCATGTGTTAGTGGTATTGTCGGGTAATTGTAGCTTTTTCCTAACTCTCCTCTTTGGCCTTCTGACACATTAACTCCTTCAGTCCTGATCATCCTCCATCTTTTTGCCATCTTTAACTCACACTTACCTAACTCAATGTCTAAATTACATTCCAATGTCCTTGCTGCTTATCCTAGTTATCATTGCCATCTTTAAGTTTTTTCCCATCTGTGTAGCACTGTGTCATGGGCTTTATTGTAGTCAACGCTGTGCACAGAGTGGTCTGTCTTGTCTTAAAATCTAGTGTGACTGCTCGGTTTACAGTACACCAAGAGTGTTTTGAGTGTCTTGTGTTGGTTCTAATCCCCTTCTAAGTATTGCTCATATCCTGAAAGCTATGATGCTTGACAGGGCCTTCCATTTTGTGGGGAGGAAGGAGTTTGGTCAGTAGTTAGATGGTTTTCCCTTGTAAGCCCAGTATTGGTCTGCCTTGTGTCAACCAGTCATGGTGGGAGCATGTTGCTAATAGCTAGTTGATTTGTGCTGCTAGGCTTTCATGCAGCTTTGTTTCTTTATCCAGAAGGTTTGGATCATGTCAGGTCCTGTTGTCATCCAACAAGGAGTAAGCCAACACGGAGAGTTGGTCATCTGCTACTGTAAATGTAACTTGTTCGTGTCCTGGGAGCATGTTGGGGTCTGCTTTCAGGTCTAGTAGACACTGTGCATTAGTGTTATGTGATTCTTTTTTCTTCCACTTGGTCTAGGGTGGATATTTGCTGTGTGCAGTGTTCAAAGTGAATGCAGCCATTTCACATTGAGTGATACAAACTTCGTCTGACCAGATCCCGACGTTGGATTGTTCTTTGGTTTATGTGGTTGCCAGTGCTGCGAACCTTTGCTTGGTTGCTTCGAGAGTCTCTGGTATGGGCATATCTTTGTATTTCCTCAGAAGACACATCTAACATGATCATTCCACCACTGAAGTTGATTCAACTTACTATCTTCCTTACACATGGACTTATCTAGGTTTCCGGTCTTAGTCTCCATGGTGGGCATGGTTTCTAATTTGATCTAACAAAAATAACTTTAACAAGTCTAATATAAGACAGACTATCAGACTGATTAATTTTAAGGACTGCTAAAATCTATTCTCTCATCAGAGTGAAAGCTTACATCAAATTAACAGTCTTATGTTTGATCACTGAATTCCTAGAAAAAGAATGATGCTCACCTTGCTATCCTTGTGAGCCTTGAAACCATTCATATCTCCAAATTTCCCCTTTTCCCCCCTGCAAAAGAACAGAACAAAGAGAAGCAACTATTACATCGCAAATAATGTAAATAAATACACACATGCCATGTGCCAAGTGTTAGGAAATAAAAAAAATATATTTGAAGATTGATCTATATACATAAAAAAAACCTACTCAAATGGGAAAATTGATTTTGTACATAGTTAAGTTCATATAGGTAACCTTTGACTATTTAATTGAAATAATTCAATACTGTAAGAAAAACATTTCAAATGTTTTATCTACAAATATTTCCAGAGACTTCCATGGTGACTTCTGTAGAGAAGTCATTTGGAAAGTTTTTCGGCCAGTAATGAATCATTTGGAAAGATTATTAACCCCTTAAGGACGGCAGGCGTACTGTGCCATCCTCGGAAAGGTGGCTCTAAACCGTCTCTAAGGCAACATAGGCCCAGCAAACCAATCTGGCAAATTTCAATGTGCAAACATGGAAAAGGGGAAAGCCTTACATTTGACCCCTGTAAGTTTGCAATCTCCCCCCCCCCAAAAAAAAACCTGTACATTGGGGGTACTGTTGTACCCATGATACTCGTGATTTCTGAATACAAATGTGTATTTTATTTCAGTAAAATCCAACAGGATTATGACAGTCACAGTTAAAATGCCAGGCAGAACCTGAAAAATATAACAATTTAATTTCTCTTTTTTTTTTGATTTTATTCATATTAACTTATGTTTCATATATAAATATTTGATATGAAATGAAAGCCCTGTTTCTCCTGAACAAAAATTATATATAAAATGTGTGGGTGTACTTAATATGAAAGAGGTGAATTATGGCTGAACCACATATAGCGCAAAATCCAGGTTTTTCTTTAATCACAACTTGTACACTTGGCTCAGTCCTTAAAGGGTTAAATCAATGCCTTTTGTTAACACCTTTAGGATGCATGACAAATATGCAGTCAAGGGTCCATACCCTTAAGGACTCATGATGGTATAATTCTGTCAGACTACTTCCCTGCTGGTTACTGGGGGACCATAGACATCACTTGATACCAGAGCCTCCTCTGTCATCTGGAGTCATAATTAGTAGGACAGACAGACACACGAGCTGGGTGCTGTGCTCACAGTGAGTGTTGCATTCAGCCATTTAAAATTACTGAGATCACAGGGGATTGCCTCTGAATGACGGAAACCCACTGAGTCTGAGAAGATCACAACCTGGTTTCCCTGCAAGCCCCATTCAACACAATCAGCAGCTGCAAAGGTGATCAGGGCTAGGTTATACAATGCTACCCAGTACTGATCATGGTGACACATCTTGCCACGATACGATTGAGTGGCAAAATACTCTGCATTTTAATATAACATCTCTGGGGTTAGAGCAGGGCTCAACAAATTTGCCTAAAATAAGTTATGAGCCAGATTTTTCAGTGTCAAAAATACAGTTCTTAAAAAGGACACTATAGTCACCAAAACCACTACAGCTTGATGTAGATGTTCTGAAATCTATATACTGTCCCTGCAGCTTTTCAATGTAAAAACTAACTTTCTCCCCCTCCCCCTTTAAACCCACCCAGCCTACTTATCTTTGGGAAAGCTGGAGTGGATTAGCTTCCCCTGGGGTCCAATAGGGCTTCTGTCATTGCTCTGCTCCCTACGGCACTGTTTAAATGATGTAGGGCCGGAATGATGTCATATTCCAGCTTCTGGCATCACTGGAGCGTGCGCAAGGGAGCAGAGAGATTAGAGCTCCCTTGCTGCCGCACTCATACAGCCGTTTGCCTTCCTCCCTCAGGGGTTACCTCAGGGGCTGAACAGGCTCACAACTCCCAGGCACCAGGACAAGCTTCCTGGTCGCCATGGTGACCTGGGATTTGTCGAGCCCTGGGTTAGAGTAAATGTTAGTGGTTGAGATTAGTGTTTAGTGGTTACAGTCAGTGTTCGCTAATAACCTTGTTTAGCTATAGGGTCATAGTTAAAGTTTATAGGAAACTGGTCACCCCCTAAAATTATTCATGCTCTTTTTAAAGAGTACATAATTTAATCTATACATGTTCTACCAAATGTTTACATTGGGAGAAAAACAACATTTAAAAATAGGTATTTTCCCTTCCTTTTAAAATTCTGCATGAACTCTACAGGGAGTGCAGAATTATTAGGCAAGTTGTATTTTTGAGGATTAATTTTATTATTGAACAACAACCATGTTCTCAATGAACCCAAAAAACTAATTAATATCAAAGCTGAATATTTTTGGAAGTAGTTTTTAGTTTGTTTTTAGTTATAGCTATGTTAGGGGGATATCTGTGTGTGCAGGTGACTATTACTGTGCATAATTATTAGGCAACTTAACAAAAAACAAATATATACCCATTTCAATTATTTATTACCAGTGAAACCAATATAACATCTCAACATTCACAAATATACATTTCTGACATTCAAAAACAAAACAAAAACAAATCAATGACCAATATAGCCACCTTTCTTTGCAAGGACACTCAAAAGCCTGCCATCCATGGATTCTGTCAGTGTTTTGATCTGTTCACCATCAACATTGCGTGCAGCAGCAACCACAGCCTCCCAGACACTGTTCAGAGAGGTGTACTGTTTTCCCTCCTTGTAAATCTCACATTTGATGATGGACCACAGGTTCTCAATGGGGTTCAGATCAGGTGAACAAGGAGGCCATGTCATTAGATTTTCTTCTTTTATACCCTTTCTTGCCAGCCACGCTGTGGAGTACTTGGACGCGTGTGATGGAGCATTGTCCTGCATGAAAATCATGTTTTTCTTGAAGGATGCAGACTTCTTCCTGTACCACTGCTTGAAGAAGGTGTCTTCCAGGAACTGGCAGTAGGACTGGGAGTTGAGCTTGACTCCATCCTCAACCCGAAAAGGCCCCACAAGCTCATCTTTGATGATACCAGCCCAAACCAGTACTCCACCTCCACCTTGCTGGCGTCTGAGTCGGACTGGAGCTCTCTGCCCTTTACCAATCCAGCCACGGGCCCATCCATCTGGCCCATCAAGACTCACTCTCATTTCATCAGTCCATAAAACCTTAGAAAAATCAGTCTTGAGATATTTCTTGGCCCAGTCTTGACGTTTCAGCTTGTGTGTCTTGTTCAGTGGTGGTCGTCTTTCAGCCTTTCTTACCTTGGCCATGTCTCTGAGTATTGCACACCTTGTGCTTTTGGGCACTCCAGTGATGTTGCAGCTCTGAAATATGGCCAAACTGGTGGCAAGTGGCATCGTGGCAGCTGCACGCTTGACTTTTCTCAGTTCATGGGCAGTTATTTTGCGCCTTGGTTTTTCCACACGCTTCTTGCGACCCTGTTGACTATTTTGAATGAAACGCTTGATTGTTCGATGATCACGCTTCAGAAGCTTTGCAATTTTAAGAGTGCTGCATCCCTCTGCAAGATATCTCACTATTTTTGACTTTTCTGAGCCTGTCAAGTCCTTCTTTTGACCCATTTTGCCAAAGGAAAGGAAGTTGCCTAATAATTATGCACACCTGATATAGGGTGTTGATGTCATTAGACCACACCCCTTCTCATTACAGAGATGCACATCACCTAATATGCTTAATTGGTAGTAGGCTTTCGAGCCTATACAGCTTGGAGTAAGACAACATGCATAAAGAGGATGATGTGGTCAAAATACTCATTTGCCTAATAATTCTGCACTCCCTGTATGCTTAAGAACTTATTGGCAGTGAGAGTAGATGGGACCTTCCACTGGTGGCCCTTCATGCTCTCCACCCACAGCAATCACAGCACAAGCACTAAGGTTGCTATTTTAAGTTCCTAGCTGGCACGGCTATTACTGGCTAGGGAGTAAAGGAACATAGTGACGCATGCTGACTGAGAAATTTCCCCAAGCAGGGCAAATCAAAGAAAACCATGGGTGTCGCAGAAAACATACACCAATCATCACTTGGGAAAAAAACAAACCTCACAAATCTTAAGATCAAAATCTGTATATCAAGCAAGAGCTCCCATGGTGTGCACATTTGCAAACGGCATGCTTTTACTGAGTAACTTGTGTGTGTGTGGCATCAAATTAAATTCCCTTTTTGTCCTTAATACAAAATAAAAACTAAATATGTGCTGATGCAATAAACAAAATTACTGTTGAACACGCACATAGCAAAATTGCTTGTACTCTTAAATAGACTTAACCCTTCAATAACAGTTTCAGTTTGCTTGGTTTCTACTTAAAGGGACACTACTGGCACCAAACTAACTTTAGCTTACCGAAGCAGTTTTGTGTATAGATCGTGCCCTTGTCTCACTGCTCAATTATCTGCCATTTAGGCGCTATATAGCTTTTGTTTCTGATTATGTCATCTTAGCCACACTCCCCTCACACAGCCAGCATGAACATATATGGTTTATTTTGCTTTAGAATTGTTATCTCCTGCTCTGAAAATGCATCTTTAAACACACACACACACACACACACAAGGCTCCTGTAGGGTCTATAAGGATATTAAAAGACGATTGAAGACATTCTAAATTAAACAGACTATGCAAGAAAGGAAGTGTTAACATTAGAGCTCTCTTTACAGGAAATGTTTAGGAATGTTGTGTAAGTTACATGTAGAGAGGAGTGACTAGGGCTGCATACACAAAGTGATTTAACTCCTAAATGGCAGAGAATTGAGCAGTGAGACTGCAGGTGCATGATCTTTCCCCCAAAACCGATTCATTAAGCTAAAGCGGTTTTGATCACAATAGTGTCCCTTTAAGTATAAACCAAGCAAACTGAAGCTGTGTCCTTAAGGGGTTAAAAGGAAACATACCATGCTAAGAAAACTAACCAAAGAAAAATGAATACATAAAAATGCATAAATGTCATATAAATTAGTTTAGAGTGAACTGCACACAGCTTATGTTTATTAAAACGCTTACCCAGCGATTTCGTTTTCCATATCAGATCCTGAAGCATCACTCCAGCAGGCATCATCAGCAGTTAAGCTAGAAGTGTCTGGTTTCAACAAACCTTCCCCAATATTTATATCCAACACTTTTTCATAGAGCAGTTCATAAACAAGAGCTTAAAAGAAAAAGGATAGGGAAAAAAAAAAATATATATATAATACACCTTATTTGCTGCACAATGACAATTTGCAAACATGACACACAGCCAACAATCTCACACACACACAGTACACAGGGCAAGCATACCTCATATACACAGTTTTTCCCAATATGGATTTAATTCACAAATTTTTTTTGTGAATTATTACATAACCCGGTCAACGCCCAGGGTTCTAGGCACGTTTTCCAATTTTAAAATTATTTTGTGGGGCAGGATAGACAGGCAGACAAGTCTCCTCTGTTTTAAAATGTTCACACAGCTGGATCATAGCAAATGCGAAAGCCATATTAATGGGGGAATGCCAGATATTGCTGTTGTCACAGTTTGAGCAGACTGTCACGGTTTCTTGCTTTTGAGTGGGAATCTATATATTTGCTATGATATATTTTGCAGTATTACACCAATTGTTCTCTACCACTCCACCTTACCCCCACCTTCTTTTCATATCACATTGAGTGAACTCACAGGATGTATATATTGTAAAAGTTATACTTATATTTTTATTATGCACTTTGAATAATTGTCAGTCTTAATGACATTTTAAATTTTCTATTTTAAGACTAAATTTTAAGGTGCCATTTCATTTTTTTAGTGTGCAGCTTTATCTATTTAGAAACATAGAATGTGACGGCAGATAAGAACCATTTGGCCCATCTAGTCTTCCCAATTTTCTTAATACTTTCATTAGTCCCTAGCCTTATCTTATAGTTAGGATAGCCTTATACCTATCCCACGCATTCTTAAACTCCTTTACTGTGTTAACCTCTACCACTTCAGCTGGAAGGCTATTCCATGCGTCCACTACCCTCTCAGTAAAGTAATACTTCCGGATATTATTTTTAAACCTTTGCCCCTCTAATTTAAAGCTATGTCCTCTTGTTGTTGAAGTTTTTCCTTCTTTTAAATATGGTCTCCTCCTTTACGGTTTTGATTCCCTTTATGTATTTAAATGTTTCTATCATATTTTCCCTATCTCGTCTTTCCTCCAAGCTATACATGTTAAGTTCCTTTAACCTTTCCTGGTAAGTTTTATCCTGCAATCCATGAACCAGTTTAGTAGCCCTTCTCTGAAATCTCTCTAAAGTATCAATATCCTTCTGACTGTACGGTCTCCGGTACTGCGTACAATACTCCAAGTGAGGTCTCACCAGTGTTCTGTACAATGGCATGAGCACTTCCTCTTTCTACTGCTAACACCTCTCCCTATACAACCAAGCATTCTGCTAGCATTTCCTGCTGCTCTATTACCGTGTCTGCCTTTAAGTCATCAGAAATAATCACCCCTAAATCCCTTTCCTCAGATGTTGAGGTTAGGACTATCAAATATACTGTACTCTGCCCTTGGGTTTTTACATCCAAGATGCATTATCTTGCACTTATCCACATTAAATGTCAGTTGCCACAAATCAGACCATTTTTCTAGTTTACCTAAATCATTTGCCATTTGGCTTATCCCTTCTGGAACATCAACCCTGTTACATATCTTAGTATCATCAGCAAAAAGACATACCTTACCACCAAGACCTTCTGCAAGGTCACTAATAAAAATATTAAAGAGAATGGGTCCAAGAACAGATCCCTGAAGTACTCCACTGGTGACAAGCCCATGCTTTGAATATACTCCATTGACTACAACCCTCTATTGCCTGTAACTCAGCCATTGCCTTACCCATTCAACAACATTGGAATCCAAACTTAAAAGGACCACTCTAGGCACCCAGACCACTTCAGCTTAATGAAGTGGTCTGGGTGCCTGGTCCAGCTAGGGTTAACCCATTTTTAAATAAACATAGCAGTTTCAGAGAAACTGCTATGTTTATCAATGGGTTAAGCCTTCCCCCTATTCCTCTAGTGGCTGTCTCATTGACAGCCACTAGAGGCGCTTGCGTGCTTCTCACTGTGATTTTCACAGTGAGCCGCAAGCGTCCAGGGAAATTGTAAATGCTTTCTGCAATGGCTGAATGTGCGCCAAGCAGCTCTTGCCGCTGCAAGCATTCAGCTCCAGGAGGAGGAACGGAGGAGGAGAGAAGGAGGAGAGCTCACCAGCTGGAAAAAGGTAAGTTTTTAACCCTTTCCCCTTCCAGAGCGGGCGGGAGGGGGTCCCTGAGGGTGGGGGCACCCTCAGGGCACTATAGTGCCAGGAAAACGAGTATGTTTTCCTGGCACTATAGTGGTCCTTTAAAGATTGCAGTTTATTGATAAGCCTTCTATGTGCAACAGTGTCAAAAGCCTTACTGAAATCTAGGTAAGCAATGTCTACTGCACCACCCTGATCTATAATTTTAGTTACCCAATCAAAAAAAATCAATAAGATTAGTTTGGCATGATCTCCCTGAAGTAAACCCATGTGGTCTCTGATCTTTTATTTATGGTTTTAAATTAAGAAACAGTTGTCAGCACCTTTTTACTGGTTTTTGGTTTTATATGGATTTTAGTAGTCCCATGCAGACCGATTGGGCATAACAAGCACCGTCATACACCATTAAACACTGGGAAGTGTATACACAAACACGCACAGTTTCCATAAACATATAAGCTTGGGGAGGGGGGTACAGTATTTTAATGTAGGTGTGATATTAATTGATTAAAAGCAATGACTGAACACAAGAATACTTACATTGGCACAAAGCAGCATTCTCAATAAAATCAAGAGGGTAGATAATATCATAATGATTTCCATTCGAAAAACACAGCAATATCTTAAAAAAAAAAAAAAAAGAAGCAATTAAACAATTTTCACTACAATTCACCTCCAAGCAGCAATGCCCCCCATCACGGTCTTGCTGTAAGGTGCCCAGGAAAAGCCACACACTTAAATAGTCTGTGAAAAGTGAAGCTTAACACAATAGTTTTTGTATTTAGTGTGTCATTCTTGGTATAAGTTTACATAACTGTGGTGGTTGCCTTGGGTGACTGTCAGAACATCGCTGACAGGACATTGACTGTGGACAAACTATTACAAAAAAAACAAAAAACTGCAGCAAATGCAAATATAAGACATTATTTCTATTTGTTTTTACCTTCATAATGTGTTTGATGGATTCAACAACTTCAGATTATATATATTATATAATTTTTTTCTTTTTCTTTCATTTAACTACACATTTGTACAATATAGATTAAATCCATTCATGCCAAAAGGAAACTTGGCATTTAAATTATTTCCTGAAGATAGGTCGACGTGAAAAAGTCAAAAGGTTGTAATTTGTTTATAATTTTTATATACAAAACTTGTACCACACGATACAGCAGCACCAGTGAAAGGAAAAAACAGAAGGGGTGAGAAATAATAAAATTACCATTTGCTTCTTTAAATGTAGATAAATCTAACATTCCTCTAGATCTTAAAATATATAAACACAAGAATATCTACAACAAGAAAAAACTAAAATCGTGTAATCACCATAACCACTGGGTCCTCGTTCGGGGCGAGATTCTTAGAAGGTCAGGAGCAGCAGCATACAAATTAAAAATTGGTGATGTAAACAAATATTTAAAAAATAAAAAACAAAGGAAAGAATAATATTGTACAATATAAGCGCTTATATTGTATAATATCCTTTCATTTGTTTTTTTAAATATACTTGTTTACATCACCATTTTTTAATTTGTATGCTGCTGCTCCTGAACGAGGACCCAGTGGTTATGGTGATATGCCTATTATTTTAATCCTCTTGTAAGTAGATTCAATAAAGTGTTCATTTTGGATATAAGAAGATGTATCCATTCTTCTCTGTCCTTGTGTATGCATTGTATATGGAGTAAAAGAGAAAAGAAAATATTGGAGGAGCTTAAGGCCTTCTTCTATCATGCAATCTCCTGTGAGTGCAACATTGAATAGCCTTTAAGCTCCCACCTGACCTTATTACACGATTTTAGTTTTTTCTTGTTGTAGATATTCTTGTGTTTATAATTTTTAGCAGCATAACAAGTAGAGATAAAGTTGTTCTGTTTCCTGCACGGGCACCATCTTACCATTTATAAAACAACTCCAAAGTTTTCAGAGCATATGCAATTCAATAACAAATTATTTACCTTTTCGGAAAAGCCATTTCCAGTGACATACGAGGGAGGAAAATTGGGTTCTTGATAAATAACAAAATCTCTCCTAAAAATAATTTCAAAAGACCACTGTTATTTGAGGAATATTTTCAATGATCTCCATGATTGATTTCATAGGTAATTCTTTGCATACATGTGTGTTTACTTAGTATTGTTATGTTCTAAAGATGTGAGCTTAATGCCACCAATTGTTCCATACAGATCTATATTGCGCTCTTGGAGTATGTCTGCAACTTCAAAAATGACCCAAGCATCATAACCAAACTTGTTTTCAGGAGGGAAAAGGAGGGGGAGGAAAGAGCAGAGTTTAATAGCTTATTGAAATGGCAGGAAAAAAACAAAAAAAGAATTCATCTATACCCCTACTGTACTACTCTCACATTTTTAAGGCAAGTGTAATGGAGGAGGAACTAAAACCTAGATTTCTGTTTTCTGGACACAGTTCACACTTTGCTCTTTATATAAAAGCATCAATAAAATAAAAAATAAAAAAAATAAAAGTAATATTGTTCAAGCACAACTGAACAGCCATGACAAGTAATAATCAGTCTTCAGAATGTTGTGCAGACATAAAACAAGTGTTTGCCTTACTTGAACATCAGTGAAAGGGCACTTATTTCCACCTGGCCAACCCATTCCTGCATGAGGGAGGGAAACAGAACATTTTATAATCTTGATCCATACATCGACCATTACAGATTTTCCAACACAGGCAGGCTTGTTTTTCTGATCAGTCTGCTTTTTTCACTCTAGTCATGAAATTATCTAACGCTCCCAGAGAAGCCCTTAGTCTTCCATAATGGAACATTTAATATTTTTTCAATATGCTTTTTAAATAATCTCAACCTGTTAGAAAACCTACTCAAATCTACACATACATCACCACCATAAATCGTCTGAAAAGTTTGTTTGTTTTTTTAACAGATCATTTGAAAAGCTTATTCAAAAATAGTGAATTAAGGCCTACATGAGAACAAGTGGGCACCAACTCCTAAACACTCTTCAGAATCACATTGTTTACGGTTACCAATACTTTGTAATAATACTATGTACAGTCACTTGTATACCTCTTATTACAGGCAGCTTCAAACGTCTTGATCTGCAGGACGGAGCACAATGATACTGTTGGGAGTATAATAAACAAGCTTCTTTTAAAGGGTAAATCCAAACACAGTAATCACTTCAGTGATTTGAAGTGGTCAGGGTGCTCAGTCTGTACCTGCAACTTTTTAGTATGAAACACTGCATATACATAGATATTAGTGCTAGCTAGTGGAAACATAGAATGTGACTCCAGATAAGAACCATTCGGGCCCATCTAGTCTGCCCAATTTTCTAAATACTTTCATTAGTCCCTGGCCTTATCTTACAGTTAGGATAGCCTTATGCCTATCCCACGCATGCTTAAACTCCTTTACTGTGGAGGTGTAACTATACCTCAGGCAACATCACTAAGAAGATCATTAGCTAGTCCAGGCTTGCCAATGTCAATCCTGTGCATATCTCTAGGTGCAAAGGGTCATTTGTTGGCGGAGAGAGCTTAGCTGACACTCTTAGCTAATCAATGAACGTTCGAATCGGCATCCTGCTTTTTGTTAAGACACCATTACTCAGCGCCCAGTAAGACCATGTAATTGGGAAACCATTACAAATGGTTTACCCCATTACTGGGGATCACTGCCAAAGTATGACTAGCATCTTTTCCACTACATCGGGCTGTAGTGGTTATGTTGTTTTGAGTAGCCCTTTAATTTCCTGTGAACATTTCCTGCATACGATGAAAACATTTATAAAAAATAATAAGAACTTAAAGATAGTAAAGATACAGGGACTGAGTTGTATTCGGTGGTTTAATAAAAACACTCTAGTGGAAGAGTACTTTAATTGATATTGACTAAACTTATTTAAAAGAAAACACAAGTATAGGTATTAATTTAAAACCAAGGTATATATACACACACTAAAGACAAAATTTAGTATATGTGAAAACCAAGTGTTCCCAGGTGTACCTCACAGACACCTAACTAATAAGTAAAAAGCAGAGAAAAGTGGAAAAACCACCCAGTACACGCATAAGAATTAAAATGTAAACATAACCTGGAGGAGTGGACCAGGATAATGGGATCAATGCAGATCTAGAATAGTAATAAACATCCCATAGCGTAATACAGTAAAGATAAGAACAATGTGAGTGGTGCTAGTATTAAACTCACAAACATAAGATGAAACCGGCTTCTCATCCCACCAGGGGTTAAAAAACGAATCAGAAAGCTAGTGAATCTCAGCAGTGGAAATCCTCATAAATTCCTTTGGTAAATGGAGGAAAAAGAGCCATACATGGTGAAGTATAGTTAAAACCAAAAAGGGATTTTCTTAGATTGCACTTACAAACATGCAGAGAGTTTGGGCATATCTCCACAAAAAGTGGAACCAAGCAGCAGCGTGGTAGATCTTGCAATGCCAAAAGTTTCAGCAGTTTAAAAATAAAAGCAAATATAAAACAAAATTAAAAGTCCATACAGAGTCCAAGATTTGATGTGTCCAACAGGGGGACTTCTTCAGGAATCCCTGAAGAAGTCCACCACCAAACGAAATGTGTTGGAAACATCAAATCTTGGACTCTGTATGGACTTTTAATTTTGTTTTATATTTGCTTTTATTTTTAAACTGCTGAAACTTTTGGCATTGCAAGATCTACCACGCTGCTGCTTGGTTCCACTTTTTGTGGAGATATGCCCAAACGCTCTGCCTGTTTTTAAGTGCAATCTAATAAAATCCCTTTTCGGTTTTAACTATACTTCACCTTGTATGGCTCTTTTTCTTCCATTTACCCAAGGAATTTATGAGGATTTCCACTACGGAGATTCACCAGCTTTCTGATTTGTTTTTTAAACCCTGGTGGGGTGAGAAGCCTGTTTCATATTATGTTTGTGAGTTTAATACTAGCACCACTCACTGTTCTTATCTTTACTGTATTACGCTATGTGATGTTTATTACTATTGTAGATCTGCATTAATCCCATTATCCTGGTCCACTGCGCCAGGTTATGTTTAAATTTTAATTCTTATAAGTGTACTGGGTGGTTTTTCCACTATTCTCTGCATTTTACTTATTTAATTTAAAACCAACGCATTTTACATACCTGTGGATTTTCCAGACTCTTCAAATAGTCTTCAAAAGACCCCTCAATAAACTTAAAAACAAGACAAGACATTTATTAATGACATTAATATTTCTATAACTATTTGTTTGTAATACACATGTCATCACTGATATAAGCAGCAATGTTAAGGGTTAAAGTGGCTCTGTCACCTAAAACTTGCTTTTCTCCTAGTGTTTCTTCACTTACTCTTTCAGAAGCTGTTCTTTTCTAATCTATTGCTCTATAAAACAACGTACGCTTGACAATCACGATAAAGGTTGGAGCTTGCCTTAAGCTCCACCCTTTGTCAGATGAAGTAAAAATACATAAGACAAAACGTAATCCTTACTTTGCTTAGGTTTTAAAGAGAAGTAGATCAGAAATTAAGAAACTAAGAACAGATTCTGAAAGAGAAGAAGAAACCTAGAAGTAAGGCACGTTTGAGGTGACAGAGCCAATTTATTAATAGGATACAGGGTTATTCCATAAAAAATAAATACAAAATAATAAAAAAAAAAACAAACAAACAAAAAAAAAATAACCTCCAACTCAACCCTAATTAAATCTTGGATATTCTAGCCTCAACTTTACAATTTTGGCCACTAGGAATTAACTGCTGTACTACACAGGGATCCTTACATAGGTTAACTTGCATTAAGGTCGTACCTAGCATTTTTGATAATCACTGCAGTTGTAAGCAAACCCCTCACTAAAATATGCACCAAGGGGAGGCTATGCTTCCATCTGCTAACATAAGTACTTGTATTTCACCCAAAGGCCTCCAACTAGAAAACCGAAATACAATCCAGAAATCCCTCTTGTAAATATAAAATTACATTTTTGTAAGTACAGATTTATGAGATTAGCTCACCTCTACCGTAGAATGTGAGCATTATGATTGAATGAAGCACTTACTACTCTGAGCAGAGCACACTATAGAATATGTATTACCTAAAAAACAATATATAATGCATTAAAGGATCACTATATGGTCAGGAACACAAACATGTATTCCTGACCCTATAGGGTTAAAACCACCATCTAGCCCCCCTGGGCCCCTCATGCCTCCATAAATATAGCAAAATCTTACTGTATTCAAGCCTGAAGCTATATATCTGCATGCTGTTTGCCTGAAAAAAACAAGCTGTCAGCTGACATCAGAAGTGGTAGCCTGATCCAATCACAATGCTTCCCCATAGGATTGGCTGAGACTGTCAAGGAGGCAGATCAGGGGCAGAGCCAGCATGATTCAAACACAGCCCTGGCCAATCAGCATCTCCTCATAGAGATGAATTGAATCAATGAATCTCTATGAGGAAAGTTCAGTGTCTGCATGCAGAGGGTGGAGATACTGAATGTTTGGATGCATTTTAGGCAGCCATGACCCAGGAAGGATCTCTAACAGCCACCTGAGGAGTGGCCAGCGAAGTTATCACTAGGCTGTATTGTAAACAATGCTTTTTCTCTGAAAAGACAGTGTTTACAGCAAAAAGCCTGAAGGTAATGATTCTACTCACCAGAACAAATTCAATAAGCTGTAGTTGTTCTTGTGACTATAGTGCCCCTTCAAGGAGGAAAACAACCAAGGAAAAAAATTTTTTTACTACAGCCTGTAGTGTCCAGTGTAAGAGGCGTACCATGGCTATGAAACTAAACTTTTAAAGTTTGAGCAAATTAAATCCAGATTTTGATAATGTCTGATCAAACGGCTGAGGAGTTAAATCAAGTCTACGGCTGAGCACCATAAGACATAAGAAAATGAAAGTATCATTTACCGCTTCAAATTGGCCTCTGTTTTCACGCAGATAGTCTATACAGGATTTCCTGATCACCAAATGCTGTGTCTGGGAGTGTAAAACCTAAATATGGGCACAAACAAGAGAATATTATAAATATTATAACTTAATGCAAATAATATTATGGCTGAATGGAAGTTTCTAGTCCCCAACCATGATAAAGCTGTTACACATACCATTATATGTATGTGATATATACACATTTATAACAAAGGATAATACAGCAGCACAACGATCACCTAAAACCATTTTTTTTTTTTTTTTAAATAATATATGAATCCTTTTATCAAGTTCTGAAAGGAAATAGATTTTTTTTTTTTTTTTTAATAAAGTAGATGTAAAAGGAAAAAAAAAGAAAAATGCATCCCTACCTTTAGTATAGGACAGAATAATTCAGTCATTTGCATACACTTTTTGTCAAACCGTGTATGAAAACCAACCGTTTGTCTATGATTTTCTTGCTTCACTCCCAGCACAGAAGCAGACCAGAGAGATGCACTTTTTTTCACGTTTTGAGGTGACAGCTGTCGTTTAGCCACTTAAGGATGGCGGGCATTCTATGCCGTCCTTGAAAGGGTGGCTCTAAACGCTGGTGGGCGGCATAGAATGTCCCCGCCGTGCTATTCACTTACCCAATCCCTGCCATTCCCCCGCCGGCGATCGGCGTTGCTCCCGGTCTGCGGGGAACTGCCTAACAGCCCAGACAGTCCCCCCTCTGCAAATTATGCCCCCGTGGGCCATGTGATTGCTCTGAAAGAGCGGTCACATGGCCGCAATAGGCGTTTCTGTGTCTCCCTGCAGGGCAACTTCCTAAACTGACCGGCAGTCTCCCTGCTTCTGAAGAGAAGAAAATATATTGGTTTAAAAAAAAAAAATAATAATTATACATACATACATACATACACACACGTATTTCGTCATACGAAGTGTATTTTTTAATATATACATATATTAATACACTTAGAATAAAATTACAAAACATACATACATATATATATATATATATATATATATATATATATATATATATATATATATATATATATATATATATATATATATATATATATATACACATATACATATATATATATACACACACACACTAAATTTTTTAAAATAATTTTAAAAAGAAATGTAAAAACTAAAATGATACATATGTAATTTCATTCTAACTATTTTGATATGAATATTATATATATTATATATATACACACATACATACACACACAAAAATAAATATATCCATTTAAAGGATTACATAAATAACTTCATAAATATACATGGAGACACACACATTTTTTTTAGTTATTTAAATTCTACGTGCATATTTATGTAATATTTTTATAATTAAAGGATCACTAGAGTGTCAGGAAAACAAACTTGTTTTCCTGCCACTATATTATCCTTAGGATCCCCCCCACACCCTCAGGGTCCCCCTCCCTTGGCGCTGAAGGGGTTAAAATCCCTTCAGTTACTGACCTTAATCCAGCTCCCTCAGGGCTGGTGGCCCCTCCTCCCCCACCGACGTCAGCTCCTGAGTGGAGTGGAATGCTCATGCGCGGCAAGAGCCACATTCGCATCCAGCGTTGCAGGAAGACAGCCACTAGAGGCTGGATTAACCCTGCAATGTAAACATAGCAGTTTCTCTGAAATTGCTATGTTTGCATCTGAAGGGTTAAAACTGGGGAGACCTGGCACCCAGACCACTTCATTGAGCTGTAGTGGTCTGGATGACTATAGTGTCCCTTTAAATAATTTTATTGATTACAATTTGAGGGATTTGCTTGACAACCCAGGCTGAAAGTAAAGGGAATTTAATTTGCTAGCACTATATTTAACCCTGTAACTTTCCAAGACACCCTAAAACCTGTACATGGGGGGTACGGTTTTACTCGGGAGACTTCACTGAATACAAATATTAGTGTTTCAAAACCGTAAAACATATCACAGCGATGATATGGTCAGTGAAAGTTCCTTTTTTTTTTTTGCATCTTACACACACAAACAGCACTTTCACTGATGATACTGTTTACTGTTTTGAAACACTAATATTTGTGTTCTGCGAAGTCTGCAGAGTATAAGAGTAGCCCCCATGTACAGGTTTTATAGTGTTTTTGAAAGGAACACAGTCAAATATAAAGCTTGCTTTTCTATTTTTTCCACATTGAAATTTGCCAAATTGGAAATGTAGCCTTTGAGAGCATATGGTAGCTCAGGAATAAGAATTACCTCCATGATGGCATACCATTTGCAAACGAAGACAACCCAAGGTATGTTCAGTCTTTTTTAAGTAGCCACTCAGTCACAGACACTGGCCAAAGTTAGCGTTGATAATTGTGGTTTGCATTTAACACAAAATAAATTATAAATGCTAACTTTGCCCACTTTACCCACAGTCTATTTGTCAAAAGAATCCCACACAAGGGCAAACAGCTGACTACATGGAGGCAAAGAGCAATATGGTGGTTTCTATAGACTGAAACCCAGCACAAGGAAGGAAAGACAATATGAATAAAAAAAATAAATAAATAAAAAAGGCACACTAAGCACCAAAAAAACTAGCTTAGTGATGTTGCTAGGGCTGTATAAACAAAGTGATTTAACTTCTAAATGCTCTATACACCAAAACCGCTTCATTTAACCAAGACAGGGGACATAAACAAAGAATACCAAAGAGAGGAAAAAGAAAACTCTATATACAGAGAGCCTCTTTTAGATATGCCCATGCAAAATATCACTTGGAGCACAGTTTAGCACAGGGGTGCTCAACCCATGTGCTGCGGGTCACCATCAATCATATAACAATAGCTTGGTGCAGTAATTTCTCACCGAGAAGCTGAGCCTGTAGAACCAGAAAAGCTCAGCTTTTCAATAAGCATACCCCAAAAAAATCATTTTAGGGAGGTCACAGAATTAAGGATGTTGCCTTTTAGACATGCACAAAACCTGGTCACAATGCCTCATGACTAATCCAAACCATAGAGTAACACCTCAAACTGGGTCCTCCTAGTATAGAGAGCAGCTCTTGTAAGGGCTTATGTACATACTTCCCAGATCCCTCACCAAAGAACTACTGGTGATTTAATAACATCTGTTTGTACTGTAGTTTTTAAGAGCTGGTTTAAATACCTCACATCTCACTAAATTTCTGATCATTTAATAACACATATACTAGTCAGGATATTTTAGTCATTTGACTATAAAGTGCTTTTCAGAGGACCATCTCTGATTAGCTCCTACAGAAATAGTTTCTAATGCGGATTTATTAGTAAAATAAAAAAAAATTCAAAATAACAGTGTCACTCATTAACAGAATCTTTATTGTCAGAGGTGTGGAAGTAAAAAAAAAAATAATAATAATAATAATAATAATAATTCTACTTGTCCGAGGGATTAAGGTCGTAGCCCAGTCTACTTGTACGGACACAGAAAAATAAATAAAATAAAATATTTCTGATTCGGGTCCCCGTCTTGAGTCCTGGACCTTGACAGTGACATTTAATGAACTCTGATTTTTCACAAATGAAAAAGACTGGATAAATTAAAAACTTTTTTTTTTTTTTTTTAGATCTCTCCAACTGTCATAGCCTCCATACTTTATATTTTGATTTGATATGTGAAAATGTGCTGTATAGTGACCAACGCCACGTGTCTTAAACACTGACTGCCCCTGCATAGTCTCTCTCTGTCATCCCCTCTAATAGGGTGTGTTGGCTGTGTGTAATGTCTGTAGTCTGTGTTGCGAGTGTGTAGTATGTACATGTGTTGGGTGCTGGCCAACTATAATGTGTATGGCAGTGTTGAGTATCATGTTGGAGTGGATGTGTTCTGTATGCAATGTGTGCGCTCTGTTTTGACCCCTACCCGCAATAAGTAAAACAGTACACGACATACAAAGACACAGGAAACCACACACATTATCTATGGTTCATGGAAGTCTTGTGGGAGATTGCGTGGTTTGCATCTCCAGCATGTGCAGACCACACTAATTGCACGCTTGCAGATTCGAAGAGTCAAGATTCCTAGACTGAACTGTGATTCATTAGTGAGTGCTGGAAAGCAAGAGAGATTACTGGCATGACATCAAGCCATATGAATACAACACTCCTGATTGCCATTGTGTTGCATATAAGAGTTATCAATTGTGTGTCCTTCGACTTCCAAAAGATTGAACAACCCTGGTTTAGTGGATTTGACAGCAGTTGCAGGAAGGCCCCTCCTACACTAGAATGAGAGGCTGCATTTAGCAGCAACTCATTCTGGTCTATTTGGATAGGCATTATTCCATACCTATCATGATCGTTTAAAGAACATGTTAAGTCAGTAAGAGGCAACCTTTGGCACTCTAGACATTGTGGACTTTACCTCCCCGGTGCGTTGTCAACATTATAGATGTATAAGCATTGTTATAGATTTAGTCCACAACATCTAGATTGCCAAAGGTTATTAACTAAGGATGCACGTAAATTTTGGCCAAAAATGGGCCTCTCACATTTCTGCTGAAAATTTGGGCAAATCTGCCGAAAATTAGTAACGCTCAATTTCTATCGCTCGGGATATGCAGTTGTAGTTCTGCAGACTGGAGAGACAGCCCACCGGACCACCAGGGAATGAAAAATAAATAAATAAAAGTATTTCTAACACCCCTCACTGTCACCCTCTCCCTCATTCACAGTAACCCCCCCTCAGTCTTTTTCCAACTGCCCTGGACCTTCCTAAAATTGGGGTTCTGTTCTTCTACCCCAAGTTTTCTCCCTTGTTACCAGTCCACCAAAGTTGTAAACTTACAAATAGACATTTTTCCCTTTTAAAATTTAGACGAATAAATAAATAAAACCCCAAGAAGAATATACAAGAGCTTCCTTTAATGTAACATATGAAGGTAGGACAGAAGATCATATACACACTTAGCACGGTCTACATTTTTTATGGAAGACATTATGAGAATGCCTTCTAGGACTTTAGACTTGAGAAAACTTTTTTATATTTTCTCTATGTTTAATTTTCATATATAATGAAAGAAAGGGCTTTTTAAATGTGCCCTCCAAGCATTTTAACAACTACAGCTAGAATACTATAAAGCCAGTCTGGATTTTGTCAAACCGTTTCCACAGCACTCTAAACCCCCCAAAACCAAACTCCAGATACAGTCATGTTAGAAGGGTTTTAACTGTCAAAATAAGATATGTTATTGAATATCATTCAGTAGGGGGATATAGAAGACACCAGAAGCTAAATGTCTATCTTGACTCTTTGCTATAGAGGTCAGCATTTACAATGTGCCAGATAAGGAAAAATTAAATGGGCAAGTAGCAACAAGCACAGTAAATGTAAAGGGTTTTTGTTTGACAGACAGGTGCTGTGTGCAATTTCCAGCTGCATTATGTGATATGCTGAAGGGCAGACGTCCTGCATAACACGATGCCTGGCATTTTTACTAACCCACCTGACTTCATCTTTACAACCAGACTTTAAGTGCATGAACCAAGTTGTCATGAGACATGTACCCCCCATGGTATTACTGGAATGTATAGTGGGCATCTATAAAAGATGTGAGGACATATATTTATTATTAGCCATTGCAGATATCTTTATGGCAAGATAGTGATGGTTTAATGGTTTCAACTTCAAAAGCATTATCTCTTAACCTTAGGAAAGGTATAGCACAAGACAACTCTCTCCTTAAACAAAATCAAGATGAAAATGGATATCCTCATTAACCTTAGAACTCTTTAACATGGTTTTTAAAAAAAATTAAAAACAAAAACTTGAAAATTGTCATTAGCTGCACAAGCCATTTCTGCAGCTGAAAGATAAGGTTTACAAGTGTATTCTAAAAAAAAAAAACAAAAAAAAAAAACCACCACCAAGTGCATGTTTAAGGGAATGACAACCAAACGCATTGGGAAAACGTGCATTTTATTTCTATCTAAAAGGGACACTGTAGGCACCAAGACCACTTTAGCTCATTGAAGTGGTGTGGGTGCTGTGTCCCTTTTGCACCTAGTGCTGCAATGTTAACCATTGCAGCACTAAGTGTCCCCTCAGTGGCTGTCTACCAGACAGCCACTGGGAGCGGTTCCAGGATCCCAACGGACTTTTGGTCAGTTATCGGACGCTGTAGGTCCTCATGATTCAATGCTTTCCTATGTGGAAGTCTAATGAGCACGCAGCATTTGCCACTCATGCGCATTAGACGGAGGAGGGGGCAGAGCGTCAACATGCCGCCGAGTGACATCTGCGCTGGGATATGGCAAGTAAATAAAGGGTGTGTAACCCCCTTTTTTTTTTTTTAACCTATGGGAGGGGAGAGAGCAGAGGGATTGGTAGTACAGTATCCCTTTAAATTTATCCTGGTTAAGCAAGGTCAGTTGTGGAATATCTTTTCTTCAACTATATATTTAACATCCCTTTGCTGCACATCACATGGGAGAGATCTGTTAAAGCTTCTGTGTGCAGCCCTGCTTCTGATCACCAGTATCCATTTTGGAACCTTTAATTATCATTGCTCTATCTGCTGGACATATGCCCATTCCTTGTAACTTACCATCTACAAAACTAAAGTTCTTCTCTTCACTATCGGAGTACTGATGCTTAGTGATGTCCCGAACGGTTCGCCGCAGACTCATCATTGAGTAAACTTTGACCCTGTACCTCACAGTCAGCAGACACATTCCAGCCAATCAGCAGCAGACCCTCCCTCCCAGACCCTCCCACCTCCTGGACAGCATTCATTTTACATTCATTGTGAAGCTGCATTCTTAGTGAGCTGTCCAGGAGGTGGGAGGGTCTGGGAGGGAGGATCTGCTGCTGATTGGCTGGAATGTGTCTGCTGACTGTGAGGTACAGGGTCAAAGTTTACTCAATGATGAGTCCGCGGTGAACCATTCGGCGAACAGTTCGGGACATCACTACTGATGCTTTTTGGTTGATAATGGAAACGTCATTATTCAGCTTTCTGTGTTGTCATCTTTGTTGATTCACTCATCTTCTTCACGGATAGCAGCCAGCCAGTCTCTGTATCTTGCAGACTTTATCTTTGTTAAGAACACTCTGTTACAGATTATTCGTCCACCCATTAATCGCCCTCAAATAACTTAAGATGCTTTTCAGTTGATCTCAAACATACCCACCTTGCATTTCTTTTGCCATTAAATAAAATTGACAGGCTTGTCATTACTATCAATATTCTAATTTCTCAACTTCTATTCATCCATAACCAACGTTTTTTTCCTGGCACTATAGTTTCCCGTTTAAATCTGACTCATCACTGAAAAACTCCTCCTGAAACATGACAACTAAGAAGACACAGGGCAGAAGAAGACACAACCAACCTGTACTCGAGTGACATTCAATTTTCCTAAACATACAAGTGTACACATATTTCAATTCATTGCAAGTATTCCCCAGTGGCTATGGAATTCAGCAAAAATAATATGGATATTTTTAGATCAAGTAACTTGTATTTAATGTAAATAAAATTCAATTTATTCAGCAAATGATTTAAAGCATTAATTGTAGTAAAGTTGGGAGACCAATCAAAACACCTATGTGAACAGACTGTCTACAGATAAAGTGTACAGCCATTGTTACATTAATTGCCTGCTTTCAAGCTACAGCATGGGGAGTTTGGCTAGTGGATGAGTGAAAACTTTAAACCCTGCAGTTGATCAATTATTGCATGAAATCACCATGTTGGTTGCGTTAATCATAGTCATTGTGACATTTATTATCATAATCATTACTACTTGTTAAAAGC